TTGCAAAATGCAATCCACATTTTCATTCCCTTAGAAGGCGCGAAGCGTAGTTTTCCTACAGTCTGAGTACGTTAGATGTAATTCAGTTTTTTCTATTGTTTATCTTTCATAAGACAACTGTGCAACATTCAACTTCGAATTTCTTTGACAGTTTTCTTTTTATTTTATATACCTGTAATCCAGGGGAACTTTGCAGAAAGTTTCTGAGTTACTATGTTGTTCAGTTTTCTATTTGAAATATCTGAGCATGAGGGAATTGGGCTAAATAAAATGGATTGCTGGATTAGCGGTTTGAACGCAATCCAACTGCTATATTCAGACGTTTCGGCTCTCGTCTTGACAATGTAAATTTTGTAAAGAATATCAGCCGATCTGTTTGGTGGCAACCTTCCACGATTTCAAATTCTAACATTGAATACATTACTAACTGTAACATTCTTACTGTAACATACTTACTGTAACATTCTAATATACAAGCTGATTTTCGTGTTATGCGATTAATAGTAATCTATGGTCATGGTCCCTATTCGTTTCCAGCCTATTTTATGGCGGTCGACAGGTTCAGTAAAAAATTCATAAGGTAATGCTTATATTGAGATAATCGCACAAAAACAAAAAGACAGCATACAGGGAGAATGGGATCTGTCCCGACAGTAAAAGATCCTAAATTCAAATAAAAATACAATTACAAGAAACTGACGACCTTTGATAGACGATGATGGCCACGGCAAGATACTTGAATGACAAGGAGAGCAAGTATACGAGTAGAAAAGAGACAGGAGAGAAGTGCAGTAAGAAAGAGAAGGAAGAGAATTCGGTATGAAGATAAAATACAGTAATTCGTTCCGAATAAAACGAGTAATTTCTCTCGCGAATGGGAACTTGATAAAAAATTAATTGTCATGGCATTCATATCAAAATTTGTTCGAAAGCATTTTAAGGACAACACGAGCACAATGACGGATGCAGACGGCACTTGAGGATTGAACCCACAAAATTTACCTTTGCCCGATAAAAATCCTCGGAGAGCATTGTCTATTTCTTGGTACAGAGATAGGGATCGCCGAAAATCTGCAGAGAAAATACCCGTGAGAAATGGCAAATTATTATTGAACATCTGGAGAAAACAAAATAGGTAACATATTTTATGCTTTTAAAATTTAACGGACCTTCTTTATATGAAATCCATTTCTTCGTAATCTCTGCTATCGATAGATTCTTTTCATGGAAAAGCATTTTCAAAGTAACGAAGAGAACTGTGTATGAGTTTAGAGGCTAATCTCTAGTTTGAGAGACTAGGATCGTACGACTTCTGATGGTTTTCAGATGAAAAGGCATCAGAAATCGAGAGAAGAAGAAACTAAAAAAAAAAGAGGAGGAGATGGAAAAAGAGGAAGGAAAGGCAGGTGATAAAATGTGGGAACCTTTCATTCTCTTCTCTATTCCTCTTTCTCCAATTTTCAATGCGTTTCCATAAGAAATATGCTGAGTGTCCTCCAGTGGCGTGGCGTGCTTTGCGATATATCGATTGATTTGCCATTTATACGTTATGAAAAAGGATCGATAAACAGGGTGTTCACAGCGAACACCTTAATAATCGATTCTTTACCATATGTTTAAATGGCATAACAATCGATACATCGCAATGGGCCTGTTGCAAACTTTTGCTAGAGCAAAACTAAGAGTTGTTTCTTATAGATAATGCCTCAAAAATCACGATGAGCGCATCGGCAAAGTCTGAAATGCACTCATAACTTCACAGTCTGCGTAAGAAATTTGCGGTTTTTTGAGCTTCCCGCTTCAAAAGCGATACTACGGCACAGGTGAACATTTTGTAAGAGGAGTCGTTCCATCGTCGGCAATACTCATCATGGCCGACGCCAATCCGCCAAAACACGTGTGATGGGACGAGATAATACCTGAACTGGATTAGACCAGATAACAATCGGCGTGTTTTAACGTTCATGTTTTCCACGCCCGCATTGATTGACCTTGAACTCTCCTCGAATTACGCGCAAAACTGGGCGCAAGTGTCGGCCATGATGAATATCGCCGACGATAGAGCGACTCCTCTAACAAAATGTTCACCTACGCCGTAGTATCGTTTTTGAAGCGGGAAGCTTAAAAAAACGCAAATTTCTTACGCAGATTGTGAAGTTATGAGTGCACTTCAGATTTTGCCGATGCGCTCATCGTGATTTTTGAGGCATTATCTACAAGAAACAACTCTTATTTTTGCTCTAGCAAAAGTTTGCAACAGGCCCATTCACGCCACGTCGCTGGTGTCCTCGGCAATTCATGTTTATATTTTTCTTCAAAACTCTACATGTGTGAATGACCCAATATTGATTTCATCCAATTGGCACGTCCGGGTCGAAAAGTTTTAAGCCGGCCAAACTAGGGCTGAACACTTGATGCAATAAGTTCTTCTCCATTTTCCGGGTACTGCGCTGCAGTCATTCTTCAACCTCTTCTAACGTGCAATCAATACTAACGATCCGTATGTTAATTGGCCGTTGCGGGGTCGACTCAAGAGCCATCATAGCTAATTAAAGGGCTCCCCCCCCCCCCCCCCCCCCACCCTCCTAACCACCGTAAGAACTTGACACTCGTCCGTCGCAGCAACCCTTTCGTCGCGTGGGCGGCGCTTTTGCCTATCCGCCATTCATGAAGGCGAACACAACGCATCATGTCACAGAGCGTAGTTTCCATTAAGTGACGAGGCGCGACTTCCACAAATCATCCTATCCATAGAATAATTGGACTACACTTTGGAATTAGGAACAACAATTTCTAGCCCATCCGTAAATACACTCATGTGCATAAGGAAACTAATGGCACATATGCAGTTTCTAATCTGAGCCAAACATTGTAGTTCCAAGTTGCAAAAAAAGTCCAAATAGCATCCTTCACGTACTTGACGCTCTTCCAAAATGGCCTATGTTTTTATCAGGTTTTTTCAAGAAAATCAGAATTCTTCCCAAATCTGGAGGTTTCCGGGAAAAGTTTGGTCTTTGAAAAACTGGTGCATGATAGAGGAAAAACGAAAAATTTTTCCTTGATTCAGCAGCTAAAATACAGAAAAAACATATATGGTAAGCCCGAAAAGTTTCCTTGCTGTTTCTGATAAAGGTTTTTCTATGAAATCATAGGACCCGCCCCGTCAATATACTACCATGTAAAACTGATCCGATTGAAATCAAGGAAGTCTCAAAGCATGTAATTTGGATTTTGAGCACTTAATCGAAAATGAGCTTAGTTTTTCCCATTATGCACTAAAGTTCAACAAAAAATTGAAAATTTTCCCGGTAAGCCCGATTAATTGGGGAGAAGAGAGATTTTTCCCAAGAAAACCATTCTAATCGAGAAAAAAGATCATTACCGGAATCTGCGCTGAATTATTTTGGCAAATCGATCCGTGGTAACGAGTGTTATTTAACGCTGATTAGATTGATTATAGCATACGCAATCTAAGCACCTTTGGAGATTCCACGGTACAACTTGAAGAAGAGAATAAAGACGAAAAGAGAGAGAGAGAGAGGAAAAAAGAAACCAAACATTCTAGACGATGTTTATGTACTCCTCAATCAGGGAACTCCACACGGCAAGATAAATTAATTGATTTATTAATGTGAGGAATTAAAAAGCTGGCTGTTGGATCTGGTAAGTGGCGACGCTGCGGGACGCCGCGCCGCAATGCGCGCCGACGGCGGCCTTTAATAAAGTGTGCCAAACACCCCGGAAGCTGGATCCATTTCAGTTCCTTTGGCTCGTTTCAACACTAATTTCCTCCTCGTCTGCACTTTGGAAAGTGATAAAGGAGAAATTGCATCCGAGTGACTACTTTTTACTCTTCTTTCCTCTGGGGCTATAGTCTTCTCTATTGATCATAATCCAACCGGTTACGTTACTGATTCTTCTCACTTGTCAACATAAAACTCGAGGTTCTTATTGTAATCAAAACATGCAAAAACACGGCCGATATCGTCAGACAAATTGATGTTTTACTTTCTTTCGAACGAAAAAAGTCGATTTGTTTCGGCGAATTTTTTTCTACACATGAGAAATGAATCATTCAATCTGACCGTTCACGAACTAAGAGACTTTCATACTCGGATGGATTTTTGTCGAGTTGAATTGGACTTCATTTTGCAATAAGGAACTACAATTTCTGGTTCGTCCGTAAAAACACTTATTTGCCCACGGAAGCTGGTGGTACTTACGTTTTTTCTAAACTGAGCCAGAAATTGTAGTTCCAGACTGAAAATATAGTCAAATGATGATATCGGAATCTAATTTTTTAATGACACAATCACATCTTCCAAATGATACGTTACAAGTAGTTCGGCGTATCATCATGCCAAAAAAGGGCAAGCATTCGGTATGCAAGTCCGACAATTTCAATCCCTTTACGTGAGAAATGGAAACTTAAAACAGCTTTTACTCAAAACTTTCTTTTGGTTCAACGCAAACGTAACGAATATGGCTCCGAGTTGATTCTTTTCTTTAGCATTTCTCGAAAAAATCTCTAGCAGAGTGAAAGATGCATTGAGAGTTGTTACAGAAAACCTATGAGAGCGAGAGAATGAGAAAAAATTATAAAAGAAAAAAAAGAGCAAAAATCCGAAAAAACAGGTAAGTCCTCTATTTTTGCCCTCCTATCAACAATTATGACTCAGCTTGAATCTTTGTGTCAATTTTATAGTACGATTACTTTGAAGGAATTGAAGTTAGGTTAAACGAGAAAACACGTTGCACTTCTTGAAAAAAACACAAACAAATTGGGAGAACTTAAGTTTTTAGTCATTAAAGCTAAAAAGAGTTCACTCTAAAACTTCACACAGAAATTACGATTAAGTAGATTAAGAATGGTTAGAATTAATGGGTCAATTTCGGCGAGCCGTACGTGTTCGTTAATTTTCAAAATCGTAACACCAGAGTTAGACATAGAACACAGTTTGTCCCGGAAAGGACTCCACACGCTTTGCAGAAAAACTCACCGGTCTCAAAATTGGTGTGTTGAGTGACAGTGGACTGACATCCTGAAAGTTGCAGAAATTCTTGGATATGCTTAGGTAAATTAGAGGATCCTTTCCTCGATGGAATATTTTCTTCTTCTTGGGTGTTAGTAGCCGCAATTGCTGCTTCACCATCAGTTAATTTTGAATCACTTTCATCGACATCCAGCCCATATTTTTCCATTCTTTGACGAACTTTTTTAATAAATTCAGAACCAAGATCATTTTTGGACTCACTCCAGTTACTTCCATTCTCGACACTTGAGGTAGGACTTACAAGCGCTTGAGGTTGAGAAACTTTAATGACTTTGTTACTTCGTCTTTCTGACCTCTCAGCCAACTTGAGCATGTATTCGTTGTACATATCTTGACGAAAATTTTCTCCGCTTTGACTTTTGGAGTCAAGAGAATTTTTTCGGGAACTCTGATTACTTTTACTGTCAAAAATTGTTTGGCTTCTACTAATTTCAAAAAAGTCACCTTGCTTTGAGATTTTCGGCTTTTCATTTTGAAGCTCGTTGACATTAGGCAAAGAGCTTCTTCGAAAGTTGTTCCAGGAGTTCCGCTGCTTTATTTTCGATAGGTTTTCGAAAAAATGTCTACTTTCTTCGATGCTTTTTTGTATCTGATCGGAGTAATCTACAGCATCAGTCCGCTTACCCGGTACGTCATCTCTTTCAGGCGAAATTCCGTTGGAGTTGAAAAATTGCATGTTATTGACCTCGCTGACCATGTTTCCATTTTTAGGAGATCCAAGCGTTGCTTTTTCTTTATTGATAATTTGTTCGGTACACGAATTGTCATCGTAATTGAGAATTACATTTTCACAAACAATTTTACTATTGTCAAAATGACCGAAAAATCCGTCATTTTTCTTAAAAATCTCGTGATATTTATTCACATTCAGAGAGGCCGGCTTGAAGGTGTTATGAATATCTCCATTCACACCGTGGTTGAAATCGAACGCCGTATCTTCGAATCTCTGCTCGGGCATGTTTTCAGGTTGCACGAGACACCGCTTGGATTCCTCGAATATAGATGGCGCTACGGGCGGCGCTCGGCCACTAAACTGAGTTTCACAAATTTCAACTTCACTCGACTTAGACGCGCACGATTCGAAACGAAGCGACTCCGGGAGGGCATTTGAGTTGGACGCACCTTTACGCACTAGGCACCCAGGAGTCGAGTCCAGTGCACTTTTACTATGACACTCATTTGCATTTTCTTGGACGATGGCCAGCAGTCTTGAATAGCCCGGTTCTATATTTGACGAGACTTCCAGACTTGATTTTCTCGCTTCAACAACTTCCTCTCCTCGAAAAACGCCGGGATGCTGCCTTATGCTCCTCGGGCTCGTAGTACTTTCGTCGAGGTGAAAAACGTTCGTTTGTTTACGCGAATCCAAGTCCGGTTCCAGACCGCTCGCCCTCGGGAGAAAGGTCTTCAGCGCTCCTTGATGAATGGTTGATGAGCCTTCAGTGGGCATCGATGTATCGCTCGGTCGGCGAGCGTCTCCTGATAAACGATTAACACTGCCGCCGGCATTTCTATCAACCATCAACGTCGCCGCGGTATTTCCGTCATTCACATTTCTTCTCGCGAAGCTTGAATTAGACTCGGTCGACACTTGCCTCGCTTCGATCGGCCTGAAACTCGACACAGGAGAACAGGGGCTGTTTTCGGAGCCCGTGGTTTTCTGCGCTGCACTTTTCCAGTCGAGCTCATGGTACCCGCGCCTCGCAGAAAACTTGTTATGCAAGTCTAGTAAATTTGCGTTCTGCTCTGGCGACGGGGGAAACTTATAACTTTTATATTGTGACGGAGAAAGCAGAATTGTTGAATGTGTGTCAGTGGGTAGACCGATCCACTCACAATCGGAATGACCTTCGATTAAACTATTACTATCGGTAGCCTGATCTTGCTTGTTTGGTTCGTCCGTGTTGGTGCCCACACTGGTCATTTGAACGAAACTGAAACTACGATATGGCACGAAACTATTGCAACCTTGTGATTTTGTTTGCCTGGGTGGCGGTTCCAGATCTAATTTTTGACTTTCCGACCTCGAGGAACTAGTCGCTTCACTGAGTTGGATGGAGGAGATCCGTTGTTGGTGCGGATTGGAGCACCAGTCTCCGCCAGAGTTTCCAATTTCGTTGCTGATTTCGAGATCGTCGTCGTCGTTGAAGCCATTTTCAAAAAGTAAATCGCTCAGGCCGATATTCTCGAGGATATTCAAACTGTTAGGGAGACTTAGCACGGTGATTAAACACAACTCTTTCAGCGAAGGGATCTCGTTGATTCTATCAGGCCTGATATCGTTGTTATTCGCGGTGAAAATAGAGTCGTTAGAATTATGACGGACGGTACTCAAAGTGGTTGAATTGCTGCTAGAGGACTCGTGTCGGGAATCGGAAAGGTCCGACTTGGATAAGTTTTCTTGAGAGTCTTGTTGCAGGTGCGGTATGAGCGAAGCGGACGCAAAACTGCTTGCCGATTCGCTGCAAATAATTTCTTCAGCAGACTCGAGCTTCACAACGTTCTTGGTCGAGTCTCGTCGAATGGTTGTCAATGCGCTGTTTTCGGAAATCGCGTAATCGAAATCAACATCGGATTCAACTGACCCGGGAGCGGTTTCTTCTTCTTTTTCTTCGGGCTTTGATTGGGTCCCACAATCCACACTCGAGGAGTCTAAGGACGATTGCGGAGCAACCAAGTTCTCATTCGGATCTTTGAGAGCCGCAGCCACTGATGAATTTGTCTGCTGGAATGTTATGATGTCATTCCTGGGGTGCTTCATTTTAAGAGCTCCGGGATTTCCATCATTAACCATTACTTTATAAATTGAATGATCAGTGCTTACTAGGCCATTTTGCGAATTCGATTCGGTGCTTTTAGGAAAAATTGTCAACTGACTTTTGAATCCATTGCAAGTGACACTCTCGCTGACTGTTGGTCGATCAATACCTCCGTCCACTGGACTTCCATTGACATCCGAATTTTGCAATGCTGTATTTGAACTCACTTCTACCGATACGGAATTGCTTTCTACGCAGTTGTCTGTGAGAGGAAGGTCAGAGTTACTCATCTCACAAAGGCCCGATATTCTCTTTATATCTTCGATTTCATCGCTGGAAAAATCGTAGACGATGGAATCTTTCATTTGTTCCAGCCTTTCAGCGCAATGGAATGAATAAGCGTCAAAACACTCTAGTTCGAAACTAGAGTCGGACCCATCAGAGCTGCAGCTTTCATTTGGATCTTCTTCCTCGTAATTGCAGACCTCGCTAAGAGAGTCAACTTTCCACGAGACGTTGGAGACTGCACGATCCTTGGAATGTGGCAAGTTTTCCAAACTATCAGCAGTACAATCCTCATTCAGAGCTTCTTCTTCTCCAGAAGAGGCGAGTTCGCCATCTTGATTTTCACAGGAATCACCAGGAACTTCATTTCGTGATTGGCCCATTTCCTGAATAAATTTATCAGATTCAGATGAAAGCTCTTGGTTTGCCTTTGATTCTGCTTCACGTTCAAGCTTTAGGAACTCCAAAGTTTGGGCGGAATCAATAACTGCATCCTCTCTTAATGGGTGATCATTTTCACTGCTAGCAATAGCTGGGTTAATTTCTTGAAAATCATCCGAAACATCTGGAATCAGATTTTCGTATATATGATCTGATACTTCAGGACAACCCACAAGAGCTTGGCTTGCTTGCACACTATCTAGGGAGAGGTTGTCATCATCTAAACATTGGCTCGAAAGTGGGAGGGCTGTGCCAGGATACGGGAGCATCTCATGTTTTGGACAGATCAAACTTTCTTCAACATTTTCATACGTAGGGCTTGCATATGCAGGATACCCATAACAAAGACGATCCTCACTCGGTGCTGAAACTTCACGACTTGTGGGCTCTTCTACTTCGATCTTTCGTGGACCTGAAGCGCTCTGAGTTGGCGAACCACATCTGAATTCAGCATCTATGATTTCATTCAGGAAAATAGGAGAGGCTAAGGGGGGTGGGTTGTCATCGTCGGCTATGGAAGACGCTGTCATTACGTCAGAATCAGAGTCAATGGTAACACAAACTGCTTCTGCGTTGGACAAGCTTGTAGTCTGGACGATATCTACAAGAATATTTTCGGTAAACTCATTTGACCCCGTTACGGCGAGCTCGGTCGAAGGGGGTGGTTCACTATTGGTTTGTGGGAATACGTCTCCGACATCGACTATTTCAACGTGCTCGACTGGCCTGGAGTGGAAAACGTTCACTCTGCAATGCTGCATCGTTTGAGTACCAGGCTCTCCACATTTCGTAGTATTTGTGGATACAGGAATCGAGGGACCGACAACGGTTTCAGAGGCTGACTCAGCCGTCTCGCAACCCTCTTCGTTTATAACCTCTAAATAAGGATCGTAACTTTGACGTGAATGAAACGACCCGCCGTGTACTACGCCTGGTGGGAACTTGAGTACATTATGACGTTCAAAAATTACTTCCCCAGTTATGGTGTACATTTGTTTCCCTCTAGGGCTGTCGTTACTACAGTCCCTGCAATCGAGAGATTCATCCTGAACGAAAATTTTCTCGGCCGAGTTGGAGAAGGTAACATTTTTCTTGGGCTCTGCATCAGTGATGCTACTCCGGCTATCTTTATTTTTAATGATAGATGGTTTCGCAGGAATAGTTGGTGCTGACAACGTATTGCTGTTGAAAAACTCGTGCCTGAGTCTGCTTATGATACTGTTTCTGCTTAATCCTTGAGATTCGTCGTTGGAATCGTCGTCTATGTATTTGATATTGTTGAATACAGCGGCAGTGTACGCGTTTTCTAATTTGGAAGTTTCCTCACTCGAGAGGTTGTTCATGGTACTTTTAACTAATGTGATTTCTTCTCCATCCGGGGTTTTCGTTAAATTTTGTTGAATATTTAAAAAGGCTTTCAAATTATCATCGACACTTGTATCATCTTCTTCGGCTCCGTTAAATGACTCTTTTACGATTTCGTCAATGTCTTCGGCACGCAAAAATTCTGACTTTAGTTTTTTCTTGGCTTTGGGCGACTTTTTAGGGGTATGATGCATTTCGGTCTCGGCTAAAGCATTTGCAACCTCTGCAGCGCTTGCATCACTGGTTTTTGATGCTTGTATATGCTGCTTGCTTTTTTTCTCATGCTGACGTTTTTTCTCTTTTAGACACGGGAGATTTGATTTGATTTTGACAGGAGTTGCATTATCGTTTTCTTTCAGACTTTCACTTTTACAGGCATCCGAGTCCGGTAAAGATACTTCCGCGGATTCTTCTGCATTAGGAACAATATTTTCTTGGCTTTTGCCTGGAACTGGGTCACATTTAGATTTTTTGCACGCATTGAGAGTATCGCTGTCAATACTTTTCTTTTTTGTCGACTTGGATGCCTTAGTTGGATTCACTTTACTGTTTTCTTTTAGCGGGATTTTTGATTCTGAAGAAGCAGGCGGACTGATGATATTTGATTCGGAAGAATTAGGCGGGCTGATGATTTTTGATTCGGAAGAATTAGGCAGACTGATGACTGAAGGCATTTCTGTTTTGGATGGAGTTCGACCTTTTTCTTCTGGTGCTTTAGGGCAGGGTCTTTTTGCCGGAGTAGAAGTTTCTTGACAAGGAACATTTTCTACAACCGATACATCAAAATCCACGTTACTTCCTTGAGGTTGATTATCCGATAAACTATTACTGACTAGTACTGGATCAAAAGGAGAGCATTCTTTACTGGCAGAAGGGCACGGATGTATCGACTCACTGTCAATGAAGGTAGTGACTTCCTCTTCGACTACATCAGATTGAGTTGTAATTTTAGGTGCAGAATTTTTCGATTTGAATAAAATAGGAATGCTTGAGGAACCTTTAGAATTGACTTTCGTGTTAGAGGCTTTCGAACTTTCTATATCGGCAACAGATGTGGTGGTATTGCTATTTGTGGCGCTGAGTTGATGATTTGAGGTGGATATTAGGACGTTCGAACTATTGGCATTGGATTTTTTGTTCGGCCTCCCTGATTCACACAAAACTTTTTGGTTGCTTGAGCTGCGGGTGGAGTCCTCTTTAGAGCCAAGATTTTTTTCGCAGGACTCATTAGTTTTTCCAGATAGTTTACGGGGGAGTCTGCTCTTGCGGTTGACTTCATTATTATTTGAAAATGAAGATTCGTTTTTAGTAGACTGATTGGAGGAATCAGTCGTGACACAATTAGGGATTCCACTGTGAGAGCATTCATCACCTACTTTTTTTCTAGACTTTTCATTGAGCGAAGTAATTTCAAAGGCGGTTGAGACACTTTCTGTGACACTACACGTTTTTGTTAACTTATTTTGAGAATTTTTGGAAAGTTTCCTTTTTTTAGAAGAATGTTTTTTTGAATCAGCGCTAGTTTCTACAAAATTTTCACTACTATTTACTTTAAATTCTACGTCGAGTTTAACGTCATTGGAAACGGGAATGTTTGTGGGGTTTTCGTATTTTAATCGTTTAATAGATTCTTTTTTAGGTTCTGTTGGAGGTGAAAAAGGTGCTTTTTCACTACAAACCCGAAACGGTTCATCTTGAACTTTTTTCGTTTTCGTTCCTTCCGCGGCAGACTTTGACTTATTTTTAACTTTCGAAGTTTCTCCACGATTTTGAGAATCTCCATTAAATGCAGGTTTTTCAGTTTTCCTGCATGGTTTGGGCAACTTAGACTTTTTCGTATCTTTGCATACTGGGTTTGAAGCATGCCGCTGCTTCTCAGATTGAGTTTGTTCTTTAGGTGCTTTTTTATTTGTTGCAGGTGCTAATGTCAAAAAATAAGAACGATTAGTGGCACCAGCATTGGATTGTGTCCGGTAATTTTCCTTAGAGACATTTTCATTGGAGGCGAAATCATTTGAGTTTGGTCGATTTTCTTCATTTGAATTGAGTAGTTTGGAACGCCTTTTGTTCCGCTTCGTCACCACGGTGAAATCATCGTTGTCTTCGATGTTTGGATTCTGTTCGCCTTTTTCTGAATGCTGATTTTTTTCCATGTCATAGCTCCTATCTAATGTTTCACTTGAGATTCATTTCTATCGGTGCTAAAACGGCAACTAAAATTCAGGCTTTAGCTGAACACAACGGAGGTGCTTTTGTCCGATTGCTTCGTTTATTTCAGATGAAATTATAGAATTTCAAAAACGAAGAGAGATATTTCACTGAAAAAGAGGAAAATAGAAGTCCAAATATCGTGAGAATATCACCTAAAATTGCCAAAAATAACGAAGCCTTTCCAATTTTTTAGAAGAGTGGGAAGACATGGGGAAAAAATTGAACAGCTATGATCCAATTTGCGTGAAGTTAGATAAAAATGGGAAAATGATCTACAGCTCCCGTTCAAGCCATCATATACCCGCCAACTTGGATGTGAACATCAAAATTAGGGCACTATGGATCGGAGGTAGGAGGTTAAAACCACGAGACTTGAAGTGATTCAGTCGAAATTACATTATTTTAAGTTTAAAAAAAAATCCTTTTCAGATCGAATCCTGCCAAAAACATCTGGGTAGATTCCTTCTGTGCTAAGGAAAAACGCCGTATTAGCCTTCAGGCGTTGCCAAATTTCCTTTGACAAATCACTAATTTTCAAGCAAATTTGTGAAGATTTTTCTTCCGATTTCTCAGGTAATTTTTTTCGTATTTTAATCTAAAAAGTCTGAAAATTGCAAGGAAAAATATTGATAATTTTCCTCAACAATAAAAATTATATCGGAGGAAATTTGGCAACTCTCGGATGTTAATACGGCGTTCTTCCTTAGCACGGCAGAGTTAGTCTCGAACTTTATAATTGACAGACTTATTATATGGGCATTAATATTTTCGGAGATCAATAAAAGATACATGTTATGTTACGAGATAATGAAAGCATGATACCCTATCCTACCAAAAAAGTAGTATCATACATTCAAACTCATGATGATGATAGATGGATTGACAAAAACCCGAACTTTCGTTTATGCTGCAAGGAGAAGAGCATCCCAAAATTTTCCGTTACGAACAGGGGTGGATATCCATTGTAGAGAGCGTTACCTGATTTATTTCTTTCAGCTCTTTCTTCCGTGACATCTATCATATGGAAAAAAGGTGTTCTCAGGCTCCTTCGAAACCTTTACGTAGAAGGGAAAAGGGGCGGGGTTACTGAAAAATAAAGGCATTTTTGACCTAGTCCTGTAGACCGGGTACTCCGGTACTATCAAAAGCGAAGGAAAAAAGAGAAGAAACGTACAAAATCATGACAATTACCTTTCTTGTTTGAATTTTCAGCACTTGATTTCGAGGAAGTCTCGCAGACGAGTTTGACGGGTATAGAGTCACCTGAAACAATAAGAGTTAATTACAGAACCATGATTTAATTAAATTGCCAGTTCTTCGCATTATAGAAACTAAAAAAAAGAGAGAAATCACACGTTCAAACTTGTGGCTTTAAGTACATTGAGAGTTACAATCCTTACATTTTCTTACATGAAAATAAAGACTTAGCTTTCATCTTTATTTTTGAAAAGTCATAACTCGCGATTTTGTAAGTGAGGGTGTTCAGGTAGTAGATTCAGAACAAGCGTATAAGTAAACACAAAATGGTGATTTTAGGCTAGGAAAGGAGACATTGTAACCTTCCAGCCAAAGTATCGCAAGCACCATGCGACGCACAGTGGATCAAGTCAATAAGAGAAGTCAGACAAAATTTGAAGACTTTAAACGTTTATATCTCAGTTTATACGAAACTTTAAAGTTCTAAAGTGGTTTCAATGCTTTTCTCGTGGAATTTTCTTCTAGAGGCATTCCTTCAAATTTAAAATACGACAAAATAAGCATCAAAATTTGCAAATTTAGTCAAAAATTTCATGTCCGACTTCTCTGATTGACTCAATCCATTGTGCGACGTTGAAAAATTTCCGCCGCCATTTTACTTTTTTACGGAGCAACTGCTCTACGAAGCTGTCCAAAAATTTTAATTATTTTTTTTAGCGGCTCTGGTGCTTGCACTAGAGCTGCTATTCCGGACGGTCCCAGCTGAGGAGTATCATTGGACCATGTTACATTGGAGAGACCGCGCGTTGGTTGATGGGAATCGGCGCCATTTTCTGCTGTTTAGGGGGGACTGATTTTATTTTAATTGATATCTTTTTCCTGTGAGCGAATGCTATGTTGTGTAGTGTATTTTTGGAATCATGGTGATACTGTCAATAATTCAAAACGGGTCTGTGCTTTAATCTCGCACTGGAAAAAATGTACTTTACGTTTAAAATTTGAAAATTCAAATCTATAAGTTTTCGCGCTTTTTTCGAAGAATGCCGTGATTGGAGCTTCCTAGTCATACTACTCGACATCAGCTGATAGCAAACAAAGGTTACCAAGGAAACCGTAAACGCGTAACAACTACCGTCGCCAGAGCCGCTTTCCGACGCGAATGCGTTGGAGCTTCCTGCTTGTTTTTCTTGTTTATAATTCCGATGAAATTCAGTGAAATTTTCAAACCGATTCAACGAAAAATATCTCTGGAAAAAATAAAAAGGCGATGGAAACCTTTGAACGTCGCATGGCGCTTGTGATACTTCAGCCGGAAGGTGACGACGTGCGGAGAGTCAGCATTTCGTTGTGAATCGTGAACCGATGGTTGGAGCTCGGGAATTGCGGCTAAGAGTAACATCACTGATTAAAAAGCAGATTTTTAGCACTTTAAAAATACGGAGACATCATCCTCCGAAAAAGACAGGGGATGACAGCATATGCATGTTTTTCCACTTCAATCGTAGGGCGTTATCAACCATGCTTTTTAAAAAGTATGTCTCCACCAATTTTCAACGAAAGTATGAGGAGGATGGGGCAAGAGAGAGAAATTCAAAAGTAGAGTAAAAATGGAAAATGGCAAATGCTTCGTCTCCTACATTAGTGTAGAATGTAGTACGCAACTAGCAACGTCACAAACTGTGATACGAACTTCTCTAGTTTCGCCAGCAACGTAAGACATCTACTGGATGCGAACCTAGCACTGATTATTGAAACTTTAACTGGCTATGATCTGCGCCATGTAAAAAATCGATTTTCGATTCTTGTCGTGCCGACATAAATGTCAACAATCAGGCTGCTGTTCTTAAATTAATTAAATAATATAATTTTCAAAGCCACTCACTTGTCAGAATTTTTTCCCATTGAAAACCCGCGTCAGAAATCGTTTCTATTGAAAATGGGTTCTTGATGTGAAAACTTTCTGACTAAGTGGCTTTAAAATTTTGTATTATATGAATTTGAAATAATTATAGTTTGGTTACTTTTCAACATTTTTTAGAAGTATCGCTAGCACTGCTCTGGCTTTCTGTTGAACAGGTAGGAAAGTGTGCCACTGTATTTGCGCTTTTTTCTACTATCTTATTTAACTCAGAGTTTACGCACTCGTGGACAAAATGATAAAACTGATTTATTCGCAAACTTTATGATGATATCAAATTTGAGTTTGAGCTGACGTAATAAAAGAAAAAAAAGAACTTTGTAGACAGCTTGGTGAGAAACGATAAAAATAAAGCAGACGGCCTGGAGGTCTGGTTTGTCTGATGGAAATTGAACCAATTCTTATCACAGCGACTGTCATTAGGCTGCGATCTGGATGAGGCAACTGCCAGTCCTCCTTCCTATTATTATCATTAAATTAGGGGCGAGCAAAGAATGCGCTTACACTGTTCTGTTAAAGCAAATTATTTTCTCATCTTATTGTTATTTCTTTGATTCATATTTGGTTATTATTCTACCGGGGGAGGGCAGGGCTCCAAAAAAGCCGCATATCCTTAAAAAAATCACCTATTTCTTTGCGTACATTAGCATGTTACTGTTACCAATGAGCCCAATACAATTATGAAACAAATTGCCTCGAGAAATTCTTATTTAAAAATAAATATATAACTCCTTTTCCATTGTTTTATGGAGGGAAAAAATTGATCAAACAGAAGTGTACGGAGCCAAATCTTCGAGGCCTTGCAGATCAAAAAAATCACAGAAGCTAATAGATATAGTTTCGAGGACTTTTCAAGGAAATCAAAATAGAATATTTGAGGACTTTCAAGGATTTTTGAAGCGCATCTGAAGACAGTTTTGCGTACTTTCAGGGATTTACGAAAAATTTTTACAGGACTCAGGAAATGACTTAAAAATGAAAGTTTTCACTTTTCATTACTCTATTCTCTGCAATGAAGATCTTGCGTCAAGACGAATGTTGTGATGAACAGACGAAACGGAGTGCCATTTTAGAAATCTTTATAAACAGCAAAAGAAAAAAAAACACACTGGATCTAGAGTCCAGACTCTTAAAAACATCAACAAGAAAAAATACTCTTGATTCAATCAGATTTAAGCTTAAATCAAGAACCCAGCCTCTTAATTTGAGCGGATTTCCTTTTGATTTAAGCTTAAATCTGATTGAATCAAGAGTCCTTTTCTTGTCAATGTTTTCAAGAGTCTGGACTCTAGATCCAATGTGTTTTTTTTCCAGTGCAGCAAAAGAAAAAAAATACCGATTTTCCGAATGGTCATAAACGAAAACACAAGGTGATATAAAATTCAAGGGCTCTCACGAGCGTTTGGGCAATCCTCCAAAATTAAAGCACTTTCAAATTTGATACAAAAAATTCATGTACATTCGAGGACTTTTCAAGGCGTTCATTCATCAGTCACGCTCCGTATGCCTACGCTAAATACAAATACTACTCCTACTACACACTAACTCGATCGTTATTCGTGCATAATAAGTCGTTAATTGTAGATTATGAGTTCCCTCCCGCTGATAGGGACTTGAGTAAGATTGAAAGTTGCGTGAGGACAGCAACCACCGAACGTATCAATTACATATCCGAGGTGTGTCGTAAAGATTGGTGGTAGAGCCGTGATTAGGCACATTTATGAAGGCCAGAACGCAACTCAGTTCACGTAAGCACAGAAAAGTAGGATTCTACAGGTGTTCAAAATGTGAAGCTACTACACTAAGGTGATTCCTATATGAACATTGCCTTTGAGAGCGAAAGCAATAATTTGTCCCTCCTCGAACATCGCTAATTGGATCGCATTTAGTGAAAAGGAACCAGCGAAATTACAAGGTTTTCAAAGTTGCGCAACTTCTTTTATTATAAAAAGACTTATTATAAGTACAGTTCTAAAATAATTTACACAATTATTTTCCTTTAAAATTAACAATTTTTTGGTGGGAGGCAAAAACTACTTGCTACTCTGTAAGATTTTTTACATATGAAGAAGCAACATTTTTACAACACTGTGATCGCGCTGCTTCCTTTCTGCTAAATGCGATCCCATCAATCTAGGTATGTTGCTATTTTCTTCGAAAAAAAGAAAATCCTTGCTTTCACAGTGATAATTTGCAATGGATTCCAGGTCCTACCTACTCTTCTAACAGTGCTTAATATGTTACCTTTGCGGTAACAGTATTCTCTTCGTTTCTACAACGCATTTTAAGAACGACGCCTGTTTTTATTCCGTGTTCAATACGACTTGTGCCGTTGTCAAACTTGGCACATGAAACCGATACGGAAGTCTCGATTAAGTATATGTATAAAAATTTTAGTGAAAGGCAGTAATTTACTACACAAGAGTACTTGCATACATGTATTTATTATTTCTTTCTATTTCAAAAGCATCATGTATTCATTTCGCATTTGAAAACAACCGCAAAGAGTAATCTCGCGCAAATTTGCGGAAAATTTACTAAAATCTTACGGAAGTTTGCGGAGGAGGGACACCCTGAAAAAAGTCTCTTGAGTTCAGAATCTGGACTCATCGAAAATTTGACAAGGAAAAATACTCTTTATCCAATCGGATTTTTTCTCGAATTTGACTTTAATGCGCTTAAAAAAGCCGCTTAATTTGAGAAGATTTTCTTGGGATTCAAGCAAAAATTCGATTGAATCAAGAGTAGTTTTCTCGTCAAATTTTTTGAGAGTCCAGACTCTAGATCCAAGAGCATTCTTTTCCAGAAAAACTTTTGTCACTTTTTGATGAAACCGAGTCGATTTTGTGGAAAAATCATACCACAAGCATAAAAACAAAATCAAATTCTTGCTCAGATATTGTTATCATTCCCCGCATGAGGAAAGCATGTGCAGAGAGTACAACGTGCAAATATAAAGGAGCGAAATCTCTTTCAAGTTACCAGCAAGAATGGAGGTTTACAAGGTCCTCTTCACAATAACGAGGCCGGGTTTTCACAAAGGCACAGACGCGAAAAAGCAGTCATCGATGAACCACCACTCGACGGCGCGGAGCGTCTTGGGGGCAGCGAGCCAGAAGATCAAAGAGCAGACGTTCGCGACTAAAAACCTCAACTTCTGCCGCGAATCTTTATAAAGTCAGCTTAGAGGTTACTCGCAAGCCGAAATAAATGCGGTGAACCAACTTCTATGGGAATTCACTCGCGAAAAACAGGATTTTTAATGTTTTATGACAGGACGTGCACAGCACAGTTCGTAACACAAAAACTTTGCTAGGAGCAAAATATTTATTTTTCAAAGAAAGTTCTAAAAAAATTCGATTGTAAGCTCAAACAGAGAATCTTTATAAAGTCAGCTAGAAGGTTTTTTCACGCAAGCCGAAATAAATGCGGCGAGCAAACTTCCGAAAGATACTGAAGAATCAACTCGCAAAAAACAGGATTTTTATGTGTTATGGCCGGATGCGCGATACCGTTACGTGCACAGCACAGTTCATAACAAAAAAACTTTGATAAGAGCAAAATTTTTAGTTTTCAAAGAAAGTTCTAAAAAAATTCGATTGTGAACTCTGACGAGGGATCTTTAGAAAGTCAACTTGAAGGTTTCACGCAAGCCGAAATGAATACGGAAAACCAACTTCTATAAGATTCCTACTAAAGAGTCCACTTACGAAATTGTTAATGTTTATGGCAGGATGCGCGTTACATGCACGGCACAGCTCATACAAAAAACTTTGATAAGAGCAAAATTTTGGCTTTTCAGATGAAGTTCTAACAAAATCCAATTGTAAACTCAACCACAAAAAATTCTCGAACAGAGGAGCGAGAGCACGAAACGTTCGGAGCGTGGAAACGAGTTTTGGCGCGTAAACCGTTCACGTGTCGGCGACGACATTCACTGGCGAACACGACGTTAAACCGCGCGGATGAGTGGAGCCATCGGCTACTGGACTCGTCGGCTGGAAGATCATGAAAGTTACTTCCAATTTACCACCGATACTTGGCGGTTCCCGTCTCTCGTCCAGTCACATGACCGGCGTTGACCCTCGCCGCGGGAAATCTATTCATTGCGGTGGGTAAAAGCGGGATATTCGAGGGAGGGGCGGCAACGTCGGAGGTGGCTGGTCACGGGCGGGGCGCGCCGCGGCCGGTGGAAAACCGGAAGGGTGGAAATGATCCCGCCGGAAATAGCTAATTCCACCTCTTTCAGGTTCTCACCGGAGCGGCGGCGCAGCGATTCTATTACACGTATCATCGAAGTTGGCTCCCGCTGCCGCTTGTATTCGATCATGGGATCGGGGCTATCGATCATCGGTCCCTGTCTTCCGCTGGACGAAATCTGGTGCCGGACCCAACCCCGTTCGGGTGGTTTGACCATGGTTCGGGGTTTCGGCCTGCACTGATTCCGGATTCCGCTTTCGGGTCATTTCCTTCCTCCTGTTTCCTGGCGGCTCTCCCTTCCCCCGTTTCAATTCAATTCGTTATTGCATGGTCTCCTGCAGGCTGATTATTGAAATTGATAGACAAAGCAATATACTAAGGAGACACAACCAGAATGGAGCGATCCTATTGGTTGCAGAACTGCCATTTCCCGGAATTGATTCTGAAATTCGAAGCTTTTCAAATAATTTCCCGGAACCTTCTGAATCCCCTGAATTTTCACCTATTTTCGAAATTTCCTCGAAATTTGCAGTTTTCCGCCAGTTTGACCATTTATTTGATCAAATTGAGGGACTTTTTGATCAAATTTGACGATCTTCGGAACTAAATCCGGGCGTATTTCGGAATTTTTCCCCGGAATTTTTCTCGGAACTTTGGCAAATCGGAATTATTTCGGAATCATGTGATAAAATAAAATGGGAGCACTGATTGGTTGAAATGGATGTTTCTTAGAGACTAAGGGAGAAGATGATGGACTAACTACAAGGCCTCTCAGGGTTGACTTTAGTGACTCTATTACCTATACCTCCTTTGTCCATTGCAACCTCCGCTTCCACCAATAGGATCCCTCCACATACCTTTTTTATTCTTGTCTATAGCTTTGTTTATAAATTTCGATAATCGGCCTGCTGTGGTGGCTGAATCCGCCTTATTCAGTTTTTGTTTCATAATTCTACAAATTTAATTAAAATAAACTTGATCATAATGCGAGAACAGCAGAATTAGCCCTCTTTGCGAGGCACGAGGGATACAAAATGAATAGAACCTCGGTTCTTGCAAAATGCATGCGAACAGAATTTTCTCGTAACATGATTTCCACTTGAAACAGCATTGCACGAAACAAGTCAATTTGCATAAAAACTTCGTGAAAACCCCTCTATTTGCACCAGGCTAAAGCATGTTTCTCTACCGTTTTGCACTCAGTTTAATATAGCCCTTGGGCAGAAAATTAGTCCTCACCTGCTTCCAGACTCCAATTCCTAAAACTCCATCTATTCTTTTCATAGATAAGCTCTTTCTTAAATCTTCCGATATGGATGGACTTAATTCACGTAAAGGCGTCCGATTAATGGTTCGTGCATGTCATCTCCAGAACTCCTAGGTGCCGCAGACATAGTAGTTAAAATTTAATACCTCTACATTTTAATTAAAACATGAAGAGAGCTCGCATCTTTCCACGCCATGGGGTACTAGGGCCACACGCCCACTTTCACGCAACAGAGCGCCTCGTTAGTCGTTTGAGATGATACAGGGGCCGTTCGTAAAATAACAACGTTAGGTACGCATTCGAGGTCTGGTCCATCGTAGGGTACCTGTATACGAGAGAGTATTGCCATATCTGTGCCGCTCTCTAATTGGTTCATCAGTTTTAGGCTATTATAAAGCTCCAAAGTTGGCCCAATGTAAACAAACCCGACCGAAAGGACCGGATTAAGGGGGTGGCCACATGGGCCGCGGCCCATGGCGGCAAATCTACAGGGGCGGCAAATTTTGCAATTTTTTTTAAATGTAGGCATAAACAAAATCGGATTTAGAAAAAAAATTACAAACGAGAAAAGGCGACAAAATCTCTTATTTCCTGAGCGTATAGTAATTTCTAATTGTGTCGTCTTTCAGTGATACAAGAGACAGCACCTTTAATTAGTCACGTTAAGAGAGAAACCGAACACGCAATTTGGCCTGGAACGGTGCGACTTAGAGAGAAATGATGATGAGGACTTGAGATGAAAAGGAGAAGCCCTCGGCGCGGCGATCGGCATGTAATACATATTAGCGCCTACAAGACTGCACGAATACTTCACGCATTGCATCAAACACAGTGCGGTCATTGCGATCAGCGTGAAACGGATAGCTCCTACAAGAATGCATGAATACTTCACGCATTGCGGCAAACACGGTGCGATCAGCGTGAAACGCATAGCGCCTACAAGACTGTCAGAATACTTCACGCATTGCGCCAAACACGGTGCGGTCTGCGCGGCGCGGCGGCGGAAGTTAAAATCATTAATCCACATTTATGTTTGTTCTTTCATGATTGTTTCGTTCATTTCTTATGAATAGAAAGGCTTGTCCACATAGAGATACGTTTACGAGACTTAACTTTCGCGCAAAGTTCCGTGAACTTTTGCTAGTAGCGTTGACATGGCTTTCCCAAAGAATGTGTTCAACACGAGTAAACGCGTTTTATGCACCCCTCCCCGCTGGCACGTTCATTTGATGGTTTTTATTGATACTTCAAAATGAACGAGAAGGGGGCGGCAAAATACAGGCGGCCCATGGGCGGCAAGTAGGTAAATCCGGCCCTGCCGACCGAGAGGAACACGTATTATTGGCTGAGAAATGAATGATAATCACACTCAAACCTTAATTTTCTGTGAAAATATTCATCAAATTTCGATCCGAATCCAATTCAGAAGTTGGATTAAAAAAAATATATCACACCCAGAATCACGTCTAGAACTTCGTAGAACTTTTTCGCCGTCTTGTTTGTTTACATTGGTCCAACTTTGGGGCTCCAGGATAGCCAACCAAACAGAGAGCGGTACATTTTTTCTGTAATAAAAGGATTGGCAATACTCTCACGTATACAGGCACTCTGGTAAATCGTGATAGAAGTGTGACGGAGGGGAGAGGGGGTGTATAGTTGGGTAGTACTGGCAATAAGTGACGACACGCAAATTTTTTTCCGATAGTTTGAGTGATAATGCCGATTTATTACGTAAACTTGCAAAGCGTGGCACCATATATAGGGGGGTTGCAGATCCGCGTGAAGAGGAGAGGGGGTCTGAGACTCCTAAATTCAGTGGGATCCCAGATATCTTGTATTATAATTAAGCCATCATCATATTATAATATGATATCAATCATCATATTATCATATTATAATAAAGGGATCAAGGTTCGTTTGTCGGCGCTTTTTCTGAGCCCATCAATATGTGGGATCACACGCTAAAATGCGGCTACCTATAGCTTAATGCATGAACAAAACGAGGTCAGGATCCAAGGATTGTTCACAAACCTGAGATGAAGCTTTTGATGTGAATGGCTCTAACTTTGGTGACAGAAGTTTTCACTGGATGATAATTCAAGGTCACAGGTCCTAAACATAAAATAAAAAAGCTCTATTTCCTTTGTGTTATGGAAATTTTCTTCAACGAATATTATTTGAATAATATCGAGAAAAGATTCGCCTATCTAAGGATGAATCAACACTTTTTTAAATTCAGCGACCTAGTTAAATTCTTCCGAATAAAAATTGGGATCAATCGACTTAAAAAAGATTTGAATTACGATCACAGACAATGATAGCTGAAACTGTAAAATTTTGGCTAGTGTTTAAATTGATTTTCCATTTATTTTTCTCCTTCCTTACTTTGCCGCCATGAACACTGATGTAAGGATTGATAAGGCGATCACAAACTTCTGTGTGCTGTGTACCGTCCGTCACCCGTAAAGGCAACTGCAGTTATTTACAACCTAACGCAAGAGCAAACAAAAATCATATGGGACCTATTGGTTGAAATAAAAACTTAAACGTTTGATACAAGTATATACTTGCGGGAAAAAACGAACATAAAATAAGAGAGAGAGAGAAAACAATGAAATTAGTAATAAAAATTGTTTCTTACCATCGATTGTATTCGAGACATTAGCAACTTTTCGTTTCGATTTGGGTGAACTTTTACCGTTCCTGAAAAAAAAACAAACATTATGTTGAAAACTTGGTGATTAGAATATCTAAAAAACTTTTAAAGTCTAGTAATTGCTTGATGTAAATGGATTTTTCAAAATAAATTATGAACTCTCACAGGGTAACACGTTTCTTTGAATTTAAACATATTCTCATCTTTACAATTCGCAATGACCATCCATGGCACAACGCAACTATTCAAACGTGAGTGCTGCGCAAGGAAGTGTCAACATGAGATGAAGGCGTTTCCTTCCGTTTACATAGTCTGGGCACTTCGAGAATGCCTACTGAGTGAAATTTTAATAAAGACATGCCTGGTATCGTTTTCCCCTGATATGTAAATGATGCTTTTCTGTCGTACAGCGATTAAATCATGTCAGACTTCCACTTTAAAAAGTCCTGATGTTTTCGCCGGAAAACATGATTCTTATAAGGACAGTGAAAGGTGCAATGATACTAGAGGTAAAGAAAATCTTCAGTAGAAATTCTCAGAGCCAGAAAAGTTTATTAGAATCATACCATTTTCAAACTTGTTAGGTTTCTTAAATAATTTTCTGTCATTCCCCTAATTTTTCAAAGATTTTGGGTATGATAACGTGATTCACAGGGCGTATCAAGCTGTTAATGCAAGTTCTTCCAAAATACAATACAAGTGTGATTAGAGATATTGCGTCAAAACAAGAAAATTCAAGATTTGACGACAGAATGTCCAATCTTTTTAGTCGAGTAAAGTTGATTAACTTCTCCACACGTTTTCACCGACTTTTAAAACAATTTTCACCTGTTTCGACGAGTTTTCAAGTCTGGAGGATTTTGAACTGCGCCTAGAGACTATTTCTGATCCGTGACAAAAGACTAAGGATTTAACTTACACCGAATCCACTTCGAAAGGCTCCTTCGTCGCGCAGCCTCTCAAGTACGAAGGATGAAGACCGATTCGGCGAGTCCAAAACTCACTTGAACTGAGGCGACCAATCAAGAGGTTTCAGCATAAAAGATGGAACAATTCTGCTGTAGAAGCAGCACGAGCATTCGAACGTTGCCAAATTTCGATCGATAAAAAATTAATTATACGGAAAGTTGAAGAGAATTTTTCTCCAAATTTCTGTACACGCTCCAAAAATTGCAAAAAAAGCTCTACTGAGTTGAATATTAGAATTTATAAATATTTTGGAAAATGCAAGTTTGATCGTGAGAAATTTGGCAACATCGGGCTGCTCATACGGCGTTTCTCCTTGACACGACAGAACAGATTAGAACCCGAGACCGGAGCGTGTGATTGCTCAGATCGCGGAGCTTGCAAAACGCGGGCCCATTAAAAAAGCTGTCAAACAATAGAAAAACGCCGTATGATCATTCAATGTTGCCAAATTCCAAAATTAAGTAACAATGCGGCTACATTTCCGCAAACTTCGGGCGATCAAAGGCGAATTTTCGCGAGTGGGGTTTGTCGACCTTTTCAACCGGATCGGCAGGGTTGTAAACCAAAGGAGAAAAATGCTCTGCTGAAGTTAAGAACTGAATTCAGTTTTTTGATGAATTTCGGCCGACGTTCGGCATCAATCCTTTTTTATTCCCTCCAACCTCAGCATGAAAACCAAATTTCGTGTCGCACCGTTGCCAGGAGGGCATAAAAATCGTGTTAGTTTTGTTGTAACGGAGGCTGCCAGTAATTTTAAAACTTCGACTAAATCCATTCGTAAAATTTCGCCCCGAATCGTAAAAAGTCCGGTATTATTGGCAATAAATATTCGCGGATTAAATTCTCCAAAAAACATTAGTGAAAAAGTAAAAATTAATTAGTTCTATAGAAAATTCACATTTTATCGAGACAAATTAGGCAACGCCCGGCTGTTTACACACGACGTTTTTCCCTAGCACAGGAGAATGGGTCCGGAGCGTGTGATCGGCGAGTTGGCGAAGCTCGCAAAGCGCGGGACCCGTCCGGGTTGGGGCGGGGTCGGGAGGCGCGGGGGTCGGGCGGGGGTGCGGCGATGATGAGGATGAGCGATGGATAACGGAGGCCGACGTGAGAGGGAGACAAAAAAACAATGCCGGAGGACGACGGTGGATAAAGGTGGAGTCGGGATTTTACCGGGCGATTGAGCGCGAGGATGCGGGGACGCCAGGACGCGCCCCGGACGTTGTGTATCGATGACTGTGAACGCCGCGGCCGCGCCACGCCGAGGACGAGCACCGAGCAGCCAGCGCCGCGACGTCGAGTCGCCGACGATCGGGGATGCGACGACGACGTCCGAGAAGCGCCGCGAGCAGGGGCGGAAAACGACCCCGGGTTCCCGACGTCGAGGCGCCGTCCGGATGGGGTAGCGCCCAGGCGCCAAGCCTCCGCCGCCTTCCATGCCGTGTATTAAGCTCAAAGTTACGACTTTGGAGCTACGAGCAACACTGTTGTGATACGCAAGAGAGCTGTAAGCATGCCCGGTTTGAACGGGTGGGCAACCTGGACAGTTGCCTGGGAGCGGCAAAAGTCGGAGGGAAGGGGATGGGAAAAAAGATCGTTACAAAATTGTAATTTTTCCCTCTCATCAGTTACGCATGTGACACTGGAAAACAAAACACATTGGATCTAGATTCCAGACTCTTGAAAACATTGACAAGAAAAAATACTCTTCATTCAATCGGATTTTTGCTTGAATCAAAACGAAATCCGCTTAAATCAAAAGGCTTGGTTCTTGATTTGAGCTAGATTCAGATTTAATCAAGAGTACTTTTTCTTGTCGATGTTTTTAAGAGTCTGGACTCTAGATCCAATGTGTTTTTTTATTCCAGGGGATGTTTGACGAAAAATAGGTCAAACTTTCCCAAAGAAGCTATCATTTTTTCGGGAGATGATCCACGGATTGCATAATATAAGTTTTCCGGCTCATGGCGGTGGAAAAATTCCGGTTGCTTCGGGGAGACAAGTTCGTTAAAAAAGTGTAATTTTTTTCATCAGTTACGCATGTGATATTTGACGAAAAATAGGTCAAACTTTCCCAAAGAAGCTATCATTTTTTCGGGAGATGATACACGGATTGCATAATATAAGTTTTCCGGCTCATGGCGGTGGAAAAATTCCGGTTGCTTCGGGGTGACAAGTTCGTTAAAAATGTGTAATTTTTTCATCAGTTACGCATGTGATATTTGACGTAAAATAGGTCAAACTTGCTCAAAGAAACTATCATTTCAGGAACTTTGTTGGGAGAAGCTCCACGGATCCCCCCAGTAGCATAATTTTTCCGGCTGGAGCCACTATGGGGGTAGAAAACTTCTCGTTGCCCGGAGTGGAAAAAAATCAAATCCGAGTATGACAATAAGTGCGTAGATGAAGTTCTGAAAAAATTTAATTGACTTTGTTCCTGCGGAAAATGCTATCGAAGTCTACGAGTCTGTTCTCCATTTTGAAAGAGCGTATCTATGTAGCGAGGAGGTTTGGGTTAAAAGCCGTAGGAGGGCTGAATTTTGGGTAACTCTACAATCCGAGTATGACAATAAGTGCGTGGATGAAGTTCTGAAAAAATTCACTTGCACTGTTCCTGCGGAAAATGTTATCGAATTCTACGAGTCTGTTCTCCATTTTGAAAGAGCGTATCTATGTAGCGAGAGGGTTTGGGTTAAAAGCCGTAGGAAGGCTGAATTTTGGGTAACTCTACGCAACAGACCCTGCACAATGGAAATAATGGAATGCCCTTGACGGAGGCTGCGAGGGGACAGACTATTTTTTCCTGTGATATTTTGGTGTATGTAAACGTGGAGTTTTAACGTAAATGTTAAAACTTTGACAAAAAAATCAAGTGACGGTGCAACGGCAACCTAATTTTGGGTTATGGGGTCAAGTCACTAGCGGAGATAGGTCAACAATTTATCACGTGCAGTTTTGTAGATTTTGACAAATACCGTGTCAATATCGAGTTTTACACTTGATTACACATTTGCTTCATGCTCTAGGAAAACAAAAATAATTCGCCCAGGATAGAGGTGGAGTTTCGCCGCGGTTACTCATTATACATTATATTTTACATTATGGTTTTTTTCCTCGGACTCATTTTTGAAAATTTAAAGGTTTTAATGTTTTCAGGTGACCGCAACTCATACATAAATTGAGGTGAGGACTTGGAGGTATGAATGTTGGGACGAGAATGTCATTATAGAATTGGTCAATCATACGACCACCTAGCCATTAATCCAACCAACTTCGAACTACATTCTTGGATTTCGTACATATCTCTTATCACTGTGCCAAATAACTGCTTTAACGATCACGACCCTTTCCCACGACACGCTTACTTGATCCAATCTGTATTAAAAAAAAAAAAAAAAAAAAGATGATCTAACCAATAACGCGAGATTCCAACTCAATTCACAAAAATAATAGTGAGATTGACCTTGACCTTAACGTCTGTCCTCCATTAAGTTTTGAGAGAGAAATGAATTCTCAAGCACTCTCATTCATGCAACTCATTAACAGAAACGGCTACAAATTATGAAGTTCATGTACAAACGTGCCCCAGGTTTGACAGACAAGATTTCAAGGATTGCAAAAGATCAGACATTTTTACCCTTGAACATGAGTTCCTGAGGTTCAACTTTCACCGGAAAGTTCCGACCCCCCAAAATTTAAAAAAATATCAGTTTTTCCAATTCTGGAAACAGTTTTGGGTCAATTGCATCATGAATATTCTCCACTAGACACACTTTTTACTGCCAAATCCAAATTTTAAACAAAAAGTTAAATTGGTCGAGTTAGGGGGATGTGCTCCTCAACACAAAAAAAAAATCAATATTACGTATGACGATTTGGCATTAAATATGACTGGTAAACGCAAATTTTTTGAACAATTTATACAAAATTGCTACAAAAATTTTGGAGGAAAAATCGCTTCGAAAATGGGGGGGGGGAGGTCCGGATATTTGTCGTAAACTTCGGATACTGTGACTTCAAGGTGTTTAACTTTAGGGCCCATCATGCTCAATGTCCATCAGGAGAAAAATGCTAATTCGGGCTAAAACATCATCCCTTGATGTTCCACTGGTTCAACTCCAAACACATTGTGCTTCCTCATGTACTCTCTAAATTAACGAAGATTCCTACAAAAACTTGACATCACTCAATCCTCCTGATGATACAAAGCATTGACCTAGCTGGACAATGCAACCAGCCTGGACAACAGAGGGAATTGGATTTTGAAATCACCCAATGGCAGCTATGGAAACACCCAATTCGGAGTGGCGACATGGAAGAGAGTCACTAAAATGAGGCAACGAGTGTGTGACAGAATGCGTGTGCTTTGAAACGATCGAACGAGCCCAACGAGTGAGGAGAAAAAAGTGAATGAATAAACAGGCGGATTAAAGAGGAAGAATGGGAGGATGGGAGAGGTGTGACTAAACTGAAATGAAAGGCCGGGAAATTCCGTAACCGAGCGGCTGAAATCCGTGATTCCTATGGGGATTGAATGACTGCAAGTACGACCATTAAGATGGAGGCCAGCTAATGACTGCACATCGGATCATTCGATGCACCCGTCGGCCCGCCCTTGTTTCGCTTCATGGACGGACCGGCGCTCGCACGGGCGCGACTGCTACACACCGGAGTACTGATGCGCTATAAGCAAGAACGCCGTATGAGCTTTCGGATGTTGCCAAATTTTCTTTGATTTAATACGAATACTCTGTGGAACTTTAGAGACTTTCGTTCAAACTTGGATGTAACGTACCTGAACATGACAGGGGGTCGTTCATAAAATATTTCTCTAAAAATCGCATTTTATGACCCCCCTACCCCCTCCTCATAGTAACCTGGGTCCATAACCCCCCTTGAAAGAAATACGCAACTCCGCTTAAGCCTCTCCTCATCCAAAAGTAGAAAAATCATTGATAAACCTCAATTTTCCCCTTCATTTTCTTCATTTGTGAAAAACATGAATGGAGGCTGTTTTCAATACAGTACGTCATAGAGGGAAGGAAAGTGATGAGATAAAAGAGAAAATTTAAAATAAAAAAAGGAAGAAGAAGAAGAAGAAGAAGAAAGAAAGAAAGGAAAGAATATGAAGAGATTATCTTTGAAAATTAGAAGAAAAAAAAACTAAAAAAAGCGTCAAGTAACGCAGTTATGGACCGTTGGAACCATTCCCTTTCCCCGCACTGGAAATAAAAAAACACATTGTATCTAGAGTCCAGACTCTTAAAAACATCGACAAGAAAATATACTCTTGATTCAATCGGATTTTTGCTTAAATCAAGAACCAAGCCTCTTAATTTGAGCGGATTTCCTTTTGATTAAAGCAAAAATCTGATTGAATCAAGAGTATTATTTCTTGTCAATGTTTTCAAGAGTCTGGACTCTAGATCCAATGTTTTTTTTGTTTTTTTTTCTTCTTCTTTCCAGTGCGTAACGGTGTAATGTGTTGAGTAGGGAGTGGGACGGTAACGTCGACTCATACGCCTACCCTTCAGAGCGTTACGTATTTTATGAATAGCCCCCAAGGAAAAACACGCATGACTTTCCAGAAAAATAAATCGGGGGAAATTTGACAACATTCAAACGCTCATACGGCATTTGTCCTTAGCGCGGTGGGGCACACTTCATGACGACACTGGTAGTTTGCACTTACAATCAATGCCATCGTACAAAGCTCCTGTAATTAGACATTCAGGTTGGTACACAAAAACACTGCACACGTTTAAATGAACCGACGCGACGCAGCGACCCTCACTCTTCCGGGCTTCCGTTCATCACCGATCGCCCCGTCCACCCCGCTCCCGCCGTCGCGTCGTCCCCCGTCCGTAACGGGCAAATCAACCGGCAACGACTCCCGTTGCCCCGAAAACTCATTCACGGACCGATTGAACTGATCCTTGATTGCGGATCAAAACACCAATTTGCGCAAGTTTCAATCCAAACGAGGAGAAAAGAGATGCGAACATTCTAGATTGTTACCGGGACCGAGAGAGTATGTTGATTATACCTTGAAATAATGAAAATATACAATCGAGAATTTGAATTGGAAAAGCTATAATGCGCCCCCCTGTTAAGCCTATGAAATTCTTTTCAACCACAAAGAAAAAGCGCGATTTTGAGGGATCTTCTTTCGAGCTACCGATCTACGCCGATTATACCTTGAAATAATGAAAATATACAATCGAGAATGTGAATTGGAAAAGGTATAATGCGCACCGCTGTTAAGCCCATATGAAATTATATTTTCAACCTCAAAGAAAAAGCGCGATTTGGAAGGATTTGCTTTCGAGCTACCGATCTACGCAATGTAATGCGTTCGTATCATTAGGAATAGACTGATTTAATGATTGCGTCATTCGATCGATGGATGTATTCGCTGGTTAAATTATTGTAAACAAAAGCAAAACCTCAATCTGAGAAAATTCCATTCCCTAATTGGCTGTTTTAATTTTATCGCTATTTCAATGCGCGGGGAAACTAATCGAAATTCAAACGGGCCGATTAGATTTCGCTTATTTTACCGAAATGTATCGAATGACGTAGCCCCCTGGTAAAAATTGGCAGTAGAATCTGTGCTCCAAAATACCATATACCCACAGCCGGCTGTAAGATTTCCAATAGCTTCTATAGCCGGCTACACAATTTCTTATAGCCGTTTATAGCCGATGGCGATTAAGCAACTCACAGCAAGGCGATAAAGTGTATGCTAAACGTCACTAATTACGGATGCTAAGACTTACAAAGTGAGTTTTTGGACCACTGCTTTCTTTTTTGGCCGTAGTATCTTGATTTATTTTGCGAGGAAAGCTCCGTACTTTTGATGGATGCTAGCCATTCCTAATATATTAGACCGCCTTCAGTTTCGTATGATACTGTGCAATACCTCTGGTGTGAAATAGTTGCTTCAAGCGCCGTGGCACGCTGCGATGCGGCAGGCAGGCAGCCAGCGCGAAACGCGCATTGGCGCCTACAAACCTAACAGGGATACTTCACGCGTTGCGCAATGCGTGAAGTATCCCTGTTAGGTTTGTAGGCGCCAGTGCGTCGCTGCTCCGCTTTGTGTTAGGCTCTAATATTTAATCTGGCGCAGTCAGCGTTATTCAACTCATGATTTTGAAATGTTTGCACATCCTGTATGGATTATTCTCGTTTTAATTGATGAAAAAAAATATGTATTAAAGGAAAATATAACGTGCGTTTTGTAAATATTAAGGTGGTTCCGTATCAAACTTAATGATTTCCAAAGCACACAAATTTCTACACAATTTCTTGTAGCCTTTTATGATCGATGGCGAAAAAGCAACAGCCAGGCGATAAAGTGTAAAGCCCGGCTATAGGAACCATAGCCCGGCTGCATACTTTTTTATCGCTTCGTATAGCCCGACCGTATGATTTTCTCCGCATTCTACAGCCAGCTATATGATTTTCTGTAGCCTTCTTTAGCCGGCTAAAAGAATTCCTATGGTATTCTGAAACGCAGCTCTTATCGCCAATTTTTACCAGGGGTAGCCACTAAATCATTCTATTTCTATAAAGGGTGGACACAAACTTGGAGTAACGCGGGGCCGTTCATGAAGTACGTAACGCTAGGGGGAAAGGTGGTCGAGGAAAGCGTTACGCTCGTTTTTTTTACGTGTTAAAGGATACGCCCCTCTCTTATGTCCCAAAAGCTTTTGAAGGGGTCAGAAGGTAAAAAAATCCGAAATTTTGCATGAGGTTATTTTTTAAAGGCTCCCAAGTGAATATTTTTCTGTTTTACTTACACAGTTGAATGCTGGGCAAGCGAGTCGATCGATTGCCTACGGTTGCAAATAGACGCTCCGCTGGATAGACCATCGCTTGCATGGTGGCTTATTGCCGACGAACCATTACTGCGCACTCCATTCTCCGCAGCCCCACTTCTAACAGTCACCTGAAATCAAAGAAAAAAATTACAAATTAATTTTCCCCACTAGATAAGATTTTGTCTTCGCACATTTTCAACGTTTATGAAACTATGTAAGGAGCGGGATGTTGGGTGGAGGTTTTGAAAAGTAAAATTTCGCACCCATTTTCACCACGAACACAATTGAGGACACGGATTCAAAGAGAATCAGCCTGTCTGCACTTTAATGCGCTCTAATTTTCTCCCACGTATTATTTCTTGACAAGAAAAGTATAAACAAATAATGCCTAAAAACTTTCGATGATTCCTGGATCATAAATTTAATGCCATGAAACTGACTATAAACTTCCTCTAGATTAGGAAGAGTACACTAACGAAATTTCGAGAGAAAGTATTGCTTAATTTCCGCTGTACATAAAACGCGAGAGAAAATCAGACACTGTCTGATGCAGTTAGACTAATTCTGGTTGAATACATTCGCAGTCAATTCTTGAACAGTTTCAAGTAAAATTAATTTTAGAGCGAAAACGAGTTTGGCACGAAAAACGGGAGCATGAAACACAATTGGCTGTCGGCTTGTCAGTGATACACACACATACTGTGACAAAGTGACACATCATCCTATAAAGGGGGGGGGGAGGCACCAACAACAAATATAAGCCGAAATCATTTGAAAAAGAAAAAAAAAAAAACCCTTAAAGTGTTTTCTAAATGGCTACAGTGTAACGTAACGTCCGCGGATGTATCGATGTGCATTTTGCGTATGGATTTTAAACTCAAAGATTTACGCGAACTTACAGGATGAGTAAAAAGCTTCCTGTTAGCATAGTTATACTGAAACTTCAACATGGGACCGAGGAGAAAGAATTATAGAAAAGATAATGAAAACAAATTTGGATAAAGAAAAAAAAATAGAATTTTGCGACAATGCGCGGTGATGACAAATAAAAAGACCTGAATGATCTGGGCGTGCGCTGAACAGACTGAAGCCGTAAAAACGACTGGAAAAACGATGCAAACCAGATGAACGATACACTTTGATAAGCTGAGCAAGTGTTCCTCATGCCGGAGGCTGGTGTCTGAAGTTACAGTGTTTTCAGCTCATTAGCTGCGGATTTATTCAACTCCATCCTGCAGATATTGGCTACAACTCGTCGTTTGCGATAAAATCTGTTTTGCAACAATTCCCCACTTTGAAAACCGCTCCAAATCGTTAGTCATTTTCGAGATCAGGAGAGAGCAAAATTTAGGTGGATCCTGGTCAGTTATGAAACTTATTGAGCGACGATAAAGTTTAGTGGTTCTAATAAGAAAGAATGGTCACGAGTAAAAAAAGACAAAAGAGATAATTTTCATGTCGTTTGTGGTGATACAGTTTTAATAAAATATTCAAAATCATTTTCGATTAATGCATTTTTTTTCGATAGCTAGCGCTGAAAATCATGTACTTCGATTGCATTTCGTTCGAATTGTTATCCTAACTTTTCTTGTTTAAAGAAAAATCATTAAGTACTCCTTGTATTGATGAGAGTGAATATTTTATCAAAGATGATGCTAAATTACAGAGTATACGAATGACAAGTTTGATTAATTTCTTAGCACATAATGGTACCATCTGTTTTTGGAGCTGAGCCGTAACTTCGATTCGCTTATAAGAAGCGAGCAGTGCAAGTACGCATCAAGCTTCTGAGAAAATCGTGCATTTATAATGAGAGCAAAGGCGGCGATACAACTATATCAACTTTCCGGTAGCTAAAATTGCATAACCGAATAATTGCGGGAGCACTCGATTTCACAACTCTCACAGCCAGTTCTGAGAGTGCTTGTTCTCCTAACTGGCCTACCAGGTCAAGGAAGAACGCCCTATGAACATTCAAACCCTGCAAAATTTTACCTCCCGAACCGTTTATTTTAGGAAAAAAAGTTGGATCAAGCACGCATACTCGCTCATCAGAAAGTCCTAATGATTTGGCATTTCAAAACCCTAAGGTTTCCTTAAAAAGGTTTCCAGTATTCCGAATTTTGGACATCGGGTCCAAAACTGGTCAAACTGAGTCGTTCACAAACATTTTCAACTCTTCTGGATTTAAAAATAAAAAAAAGGTTAGGTTCATAAAAAATATCCATTTACAAGTTTTGTCGCGTTTGCGATAGAGATATTTCATGGAAAACGTTACATTACCTGACAATAAATGACTACGAAAAGAAAATCATCAAGTGAAACGCAGGCTTTCTTGGAGTCTAAACCTCTCAGCATGGAACTTTTCTTCTCCACGTGAATACTGCGGTTTTACACACCAAGAGGGTACGGGGATAGGGGAATGATCGATTTTCGGAGGGATATCGGCGACACAAGGTGCAGTAATGTCTTACGAATGTCCGGTGAGATGACCTTTTTAAGAGACGCTGTGCATTAAATGTCAAGTTTTCGAACATGAACGTACCGCTCACTTCAAACACGATTCAAAAGTTAAAGACAAGGGAATCGCTTAGGGGCACGACTATATTAGAGCAGTGAATTTCTTACTCTTTAAACGTTTCTAATGTTTTATAATTTAATGCAACCGAAACTATACAGCTTTTGGGAGATCTTTGAAAGGGCTTAATTTAATCATCGATGGTGAAACTAGAAAAACGTGGATTTTATTTGCTATGAAACACTTTATTCTTCTTAAAAGGCTATTAATTGACCTACTGCTTTAAACATTAAACACAAATGAGACTATTCTTTGAGATGCAACAGCCTACGACAACCCACAACCTACTATTTGTTAAAAGAGTGCCTCGGGAAAGGCACTGGGAATTCACGCGAGTGAGACTTGATACATAAAAGAAGCTTTTATGGCTCACGGGTCGTTTCATTCCAAAATCAATTAGCAAAAGTGAATTCATACTCATTGCAGATTTTGATTAAATTTAGAGAATTTCGTGGACCTTAAGATGGTTTAAAAATCCCGAAGTTACTAATCGATACAACCTACAAAAACGAAGTTACGGAGGCCCGATACGGCGCAAATTCCCCAGAGCAAAACTCCCTCAATAATACCTTAAAAAAAAAAAAAAAAATCCTCGAATCGCTGTTCTAACTAAGCAACAGAGCTCAATTGGAAATCGATCCATTATTCGGCCCTAATTTTACAGCCCCTCCATGGGATTCTTCGATTAAAAAGCGGCTCCTCCGTTATAATTTTTCTGCAGCCGGATGCGTCGTCGGGTCGCGACGGGCTCGGGGGTATCGGGAAAATATCGCTCTATTATTATTTTATTCGAGCAGACAGACTTAAAGTTGCGCTCTAAAACCACATGGCCACCAGGTCCTGCCGAATTTACGCGTCTTGTACAGATACTTCAGTTCCCAGCGGCACAGCCGTCATTCATTCCCACGGTTTCATTATCTTCTGCTGAAGTCTCGTCAAAATATGTAGACATGTAATATATTTTATGAATGAAATTGTTATGGATGCTGTGCAAAGAAGTACATATCAATGAACTAAAACACGTTCATTCGTATGAAATGTTCCTTTAGTGCCCAAATTCATTATTTTTGAAGGACGACTGGCCACTGTCATCAAGGCCTGTGCCCTGCTCTAATTTTTTTAAAAAAAAGTGGCTAGATTTTTTGGGTTTTAAGTTTCTCAGACTTTTCTCTGGCACTTCAGAAGAAATGTCCTTACTTTATGACAAGACAAAAATGTTCTGATCATTCCTTAACTTTCCTCTGACCTTTACGCTGCGCGCTGTTCGCCGATATAGGAGCGAGAATAGCAGAAATCAAGTGGAGCTAAAAATATAATAGCTCACCTTATAAGCGATGAAGAGCATTACCGGCCGTCGGTTGATGCTTACCACGTGCGTGTTCGCATTCGAACTCTCTAACTTCCTACTTTTCCTGACATTCCCTGATTTTAAAAAATATGATTTCGCCTGTGTAGCCGAACCTATACTTTAAGCAGCAAGGATGAGGTCATCATGATTAAAGCTGATTGCAACCAGGAGGTGCCGATCGTCTTAGGGTCCACTTTTAAAAACCACATGGTAGATATCATGAGCTTTTTTCATTAAAGAAAATTATTTAACTAAGTATGAGACAAAGACATGATTTTGATACTCCAAGCAGCAAATATAGTTGAAGGGAATTTTTAGCGAAAAATTTTGGTAAGTATGATTTCATTTACACTGGGAAACTTTCTCACGCAGCTGTATAGAGACATCGACGTAAGATACTTCTTATTGATGCAGATTTTTTGGTGTGTGATTGCGTTTGCGCGTTCCTGCGGGCTGATTATTAAAATCCATAGACAAAACAATATACAGAGAAGACGAAGAGAAAATTGAGAAATCTTATCGGTTTAAGCGGGTAGCTGCATTGGGCAAAGGAGGTAAGTAGTAGACAAACAAACAAAAAGCCACGAGAGACCATGAGAAACCGAGTTAGTCTATCATTGTCCCCTTTTTTAGTCCATAACAACCACCCGTTTCAACTAATAGGGTCGTTCCATTAGTATTATCTCTTTTTTATCCATAGTTTCGTCTGCCAATCTGTAAATTGTAATACTCGTCCCGCTATTATTGCAAGGGTGTCATGCGTTTTGCATGAATAGTTAAGTTTAAACCAATCCTCATCGTTTAACATGAAGATGTGAGTATCATACTATCCTATCATTGCAACTTCCGGATTGAGGGGGACAGCCTCAAGATACTATCTAAGTACTTGTTGACGTTGTGTAATAACGGATTGCAACGATCGTCGAGGAGCAGGGTAGAAATTCGAATTGCGAAGAAATAATTTATGCTAATCGCTCGACTTCCGGAGAGCAAAAAACTGAGCAAATCAACCTGTCGCACGGGCTCTTCTCTCTTCTTCGTAGCGCGGTTAGAAAAACACACGCGCTCCTCTTAAATGAAATTGCTCCTCTATTCAATCGGGTGCATCGGTGCAGAAAAATGGCATCGGCCGATGAAAAGAAAGCTTTTAGCAAGAATGTATTTCTTTCGCAGAGTAAAAATTCAATTCAGAGCTTCGGAAG